GTCGATCTAAAGATTGAAATTCAGAGAATGAATCAGAAATTAACTCGTTTAGAAGACAACATGAGTGACGTCATGACCCGCATGAACCACGTGCAGCGGTCGACGTCCCAGCCCGTGAGCGTGAGACCTTCCGACGAGCCACTCCGGGTCCCGCGGCGAGACAGACCCACAGCCGTGGCGGTGGATCCCGCCCCAGACCCTGATGAGTCTAAGCCATTTTTACCCAAGGTTACTGCCAGTGAAGAACCAAAAAAGCCTAAACGGCGAGACAAGAACCGCGCAAAGAGTGCCGGAACGCCCCGCACGTCCCCCACCGATTCCAACTCCCCAACCGATTCCATGGTGCGCGGGATGCTTGAAGAGGAGATTCAGGAGCAAGCGTCGTCTTCGCCGCGGGCCGAGGCTCCGGTGCCGCCGCGCTCACGTTCCAGGGAGTACCTCTGAGCTGTTAGTACAATCTCCCTACCAGGCTCTTCCCTATAATGTTTCACAAACTTGATATATACACGGATAAGAATGAAAGCTCCAGTATTGCATAAAATTCTCCAGATAATTGCTAATGAATGAATGCTGAACGTTAAGGACAGTTCAGATTCGTTGTCTGTTATGATTACTGTGAATAGTTTTGATCACGTATTTAGCTCAGCACACAACACAGGGCAGGGTCGTTGCAGGAGCGTAAATTGGTACTCAGTCAGGTTAAACATTTACGCCAACTTTCAACCTAAAGATCGACTATTTGGTAAATGCGTTTAACAAAATTTCAACATTTTGAACCAGAATATGACACATGATATTAGCATTCTGAGTAAATACCACTATTGCAGCCTTCGTGCTCCCGATCGCGGCTGTTACGGCTTATTTCTAATTATTGCGTTGGCTCTGTCTTCGCGATTGTGACTCCTAAGAATAAGTGGCAATTCAGATGGAGTGGCAGGGAGTTGGTTGTGTTCGGGAGGGGGCGTGGGACCCCGCGCGCTCCCCCCCTTGTCACTGTGCAACACTCGCCCTTTTTGTGATCCTGTAATCCTCATCCAAAGACAGTGACTGCAACTGAGGATGCTGTGCAGGTAGCAATCTTAGCAATACTCAAATGATCCTCTCCAGGAGGATCGAGCACGAAGATGTGGAAACAGTGTCAGCATTTACACACACGTACCGTCCTGTTTGTTTTGTACATAATAAAACAGTGTTTTGAAGTCGAACACAGAGTGATGTATTTCAGGTGTTTCATCGAACATGTATTGAGTTTTATTACGAAATAGATCATATTATTCACCGTTTGTTTGTGCTACAGTGGAGTTTGGATATTTATATTTCTTGTGCTGATTGTTACTGTTCCAACTGATCTGTGATAACATGTTTGTTTAGATACTTAACCCCGACACAACAATACCAGCGGCAGGACTTCCACCTTTACTGTCATATCCTTTCATTAGACCCATCCTGACAACCCTACCTACAATGCCCCCTGAATCCCTGGATCCCCTAACCAAGACCGTCCCAGCCGATGCCTCCAGAGACACTACCTACCCTGAATACCCTATAACCTCGCTTGCCTTGGCAAATTGCACTCTAGTCCTTTTTTCTGAAGAACATCACCTTCATTATGCCCCATTGCCAACAAACGTATGGTGTTTTATTCTGAAAACAACACAGGTGTCGGGTGACCTTCGCGAACTCAGTGAAGATTCTTATTGGATACAGCCAACAGCATTGCTCTCACAATTGCCATCCGGTATCTCTTTACCTTCTGCATCAGTTGAGCCGATGGTGTCATTCCCTCACAGTGACTGTATAGCATGTCCCTGAGTACATCGTGGAATGCTGAGTATAGGAATGGGGCACATAGAGTCATAAAAGCATAATTGCACACATAGAAGTTCTTATTACTTATGTATTACGTTGACTTACCCATTGCACGACTGGAACTTGGATATCATCTGTCAACGAGTCTTGAGACAACTAAACAGAATGTGGCAAATGGCTTTTCGGGTTGTTTGAGCGATTGTACACAAATTGATAATCACTGTTCGAACAAAATGGGAGATGGAATTGGTATTTTAAAGGCTCATAACCATCAGAAAGTTTTCCATCCTTCGAGAATGAGCTTTATTTGTTACCAAAACTACGCGTTTGTCTTCTTCATTTCTCGTAATAATTATGGAATTTATTTGCCACAAGAGAGAATATAGTCATGCGAAGGACCCGCAAAGATGAAGAACAGGCAGCCAAAGTTATCTGATCATTCATTGTCGTTGAAAAATATCCACGTCTTGCTCTGATTCCCAACTTCAGACATGTTAAGCATTTATTTGCATTTGTTTCAAACAGCAATTTGACTCGCAACTACACATATACATAACATAATTGTTGGTTCTAATTCAGGTAACATATAGCTTAATATAGTGTATGATTTTAACAAAGTTTTCGGCCATCATCACCTTTCTTGACAAAATGTCCTCATACAGACTATTGTGATATTAAAGTTTCTAACAAC